GTAATAAAGACTCAAACACAACCTATCATGAAACAATTAATCTAAGCTATTATATTTTATTATTTCAGAATCRTTAGAATAATTATAAATATTAGCATCTAATATATCCCCTTATGTGTGCGCAAAGCCCTATTGTAGTGTTTCCCTTCGAGCACGCCTTTCAACGATCCACTCCCAACCAAAGAAGATTCAAGCAGAAGATCTGCAAGGCCACTCTCACCAAATCGTTTCCCTATAACTGCTAAAAAGACGCATGCAATGTGAAAASTCCCCATTCGAAGTASAACTCTTGACAGCTCTTCCTTTTTCTTCCAGACTACCTCTAGAGCTTTGGCATAAATAGTCGATCTARCACTATTACAGTGTCTGGAAGCCCTAGTTTGATTGCCATTTCATCGGACCTCTTAAGCAAAGTGTACACTGTTGAAAGATCTGTTGGGGAGGCATCTATCAACTGATTATATCCTATGATGCTCTTTGGGGGCACATTTTGCTCGTTTGCAACCATGTTGAACCCTGTCCAGGCCGGAACAGTTTGATGACAGCTACTCTCAGTTGAGTTGTGGAGCCTTGCTAAAAACCAACCAAAGTCCTTTAAAGAGGACTCAGAGCGGCTTTCTACTCCTTTCCTAGAATTGATGATATCCACATTGTATTCACCTGGTCCACACCTCTTACCAGCATTGTACTCGTAAATCTGTCGACAATATTTGGAAAAGTATTAGTCATTTAATAGGATCATCAGTTTCATTTTTGTGCAATATAATCAGATGAATGTTTTAAGSTAACCTCATTAGGGACAGCACAAAAAWTTGCGCCTTCTTGACTTTTTACCATGATGGTGCATTATTGGTGGTGGATCACATCCTAAAACCCGTCGTTGAATTATGATGCCATTGGTACAATGGCTTGTTCCTTTCCCTAGCAAATCAATATTATCCCAGCAAAACAGACTGAAGACGTTGGGGGAGRCAACTTTAGGTAGTACAAGTTCTTCATTGCCCAGTCTTTCCACTTGTTTCTCTGCAATTCCAGTTTCAATTTCAAGCACTTGATCATAYGAGATCCCATGACCATATCTGTTTAAAAGAGTGATAATTTCTTTTGATCCAGTGAGATTCTTGACTGTCATCGACAAACCAACATGCTTAGGCGTTTTGTATCTTCCYCTTGATACATTGAATAAAMGATCTTGCCCTAGAGAAAGAATTGTTCGGTATSATTGTTCTACAGCARCATCAATTCTTCTCTCATTATCTTCAACAGCATTGTCTTCGTCTGTCAAAATCCATGCCAGAAGATTGAACGCAACATTTGKCAATGACACTTTATCCGTGTTTAWATCACTAGAATTTGGTGGCCACGGMATGTTTTACTCTGTATTTAGTAGTGCAGCTCGAACAGTCTTAGTAGCATGATAAACGTGGTTTACATCATGTTGACTTTGTGTTATTGCATCCTCTTTGTCTTCATTGCAGGTATTTACAATACTACTTTCTATTATGTGGCCTTTGGGAATATCATCACAATATCTCATATTCTGAGCGATATCGAGGATGCCAGAAACTTATTCTCTCTTGATACGCTCTTTGGAGTTTAATSTTCAATTTTTCAGCTCGATACGAATCATTTTGAACACCTTGTTCCTTTAAAAGTTCAATGTACCGTTTTTTCAATTCTGACATCCTCACAACTTTGTGTTTGTCAAATAGCTTGGGCTCTAGCTCAGATTGTAGTGCTTCGAACGCTTTATCATACTTGCATCCAAGCTTTTTCTCTTTATTCGYTACTTGCTTTAAATTAGTGTACCTTCTGTAGCAGCTTCTGTGATAGCAAAGTTCTATCGCAACGGGATCTTTATCAGTCAATGCCATAACAAGGCTTTGGTTTCCTTGGATTTCTGCTGCATCTAGTAGTGCTTGTCCGGCTTCCATAGTTTCACAGAGGGTTAATTTCTCTTGTCTTCTTCTGTCTTTTGGATCTGGCTTTTCTTCCTGGCAAGTTGCWCATTTTTTTAGATCTGTTATTGGGATGGATGATCTTCTAAGGCATGGATTTGACATTTTTTCATCTTCATCAATTATTGACTCATTGATTTCAKTTGGCAGTGATTGTATTTTTCGTCTTTTTTCCACCCGTTCGAGAAGATTTTTCGCTGTGTACGTTTGGTAACATGTGCGATGATAACAGCCAAACGGGCCATCTTCCCACTTTCCAAACATGTTATCGGCAATCTTATCATGTCTCAGGTTAGCTGCTTCTTTAAATGTTTTCCAGSTAATGTCTGTRAAACTAGTGAGTTGTCCTTGCACACCATCKTTATGACACAAACATTTATTTTAACTAATGTTTTTCGAAATAATTTTTGGTTTTAGTGCAAATGCCATTGCATGGATGTTTATTTCTGAAGAATAAAAAAGATCTAGATCAATTGCCGGTTCAACTTCCATTYATAATAGTAGCCATATCAAACACTTGTATGACATTCRCGCGGGATACCTGTGGTTTAGCCTCCTTTTTTTTTGCTGAAAACGAGGATACTAATTAATTCTATCATGACATATCAAACAATTGCCTCAGAGAATCATTCATTCGTTTGCCAAACTTTTGCTGACTATATATGGTAATCTTACCTTATAAGGAAGTACGATAGAAAGTTTTTTTCCAAGTTTTTTCCACGTTTTAGTGCTTTAAAATGACTAAAACTTACAGAATTTGCAGAGAAATTGCTTTACAACATGTCGTCCATTATAATTTTGTCCTAGTCCCCTCCCATCCTTGAAAATAAGGAATCCCACAAAAGACACAGGTAGCCCTCGCGAATGTTGGCAATTGTTTGATATGATTGATTTGCTCATTCTCTACATCACGTAGACGTTTAAGGAATTTAGATGCACAAAAATGCTAGAAAAATAGACAAAAGTCATTTCATCGTGCTTTCTTTTAAGGTTAATTGATGCATATGGAGCTCTACCTCATCGAAAACGAATGGCAAGTTCAGTTCGATTATTTTCAGTTCTATTCTTGGCTTGCACCCACGTGACCCGGCCCTTGACAACGGTTGCTATCCGCCATTTTGATGTCCCTCATACTGTAAACAATGAGGTGAGAGAGTAGACGATGTAAGCTTTAAATCAAAAATGGTCTTCTGTATCATCGTAGGTTGCAGTTCAAAAAGCGGTAAACACAAAGTAAGCTTTAATCGAATACCTAAGATAGTTTTTAACCAGGGTGAAGACTACGAAGAGCTCACTAGAGAGCGTAGAAGGCTTTGGATATCCGCCATTAGCAGAGACGATCTCGAATCGAAAGACGTCCTCGAGAGTGAAAGAGTTTGCGGTCGTYATTTCGTCACAGGAAAACCAGCAGCTCCGTGGGATAAGTACTACGTCCATTGGATCCCGACTTGTAACTTAAGCAAGAAGGATTTTGAGCGAAGTGAAGTGAAGGAAAGGCAGAAGGACGAAGCGAAGGCAAGGGTAGAGAGGTCAAAGGAACGCAGGAAACGGAACATTGAAAGTCAGGAAATAGAAGCCGCTAAGAAGAAGAAAGCCCTCGAAGAACATTCAGAAAGTGATGGAGACGTCTTACGGGACATTGAGTTTGACACAACAGATACTTTTGATATAGACTCCGTTTGTAAAGATACAAACGTTGCTTCTGCTGGTCCGTTGCTTGCTGAGAAAGAAGTTTCTGAAACACATACATGTACGGAAGTCAAAGGCGTTTGCGATGTTTGTGGAAGTTGCTTGTCCAAGAAGGCTACAAGAACTGTAGAAACTCAAACTGAAGAATTCGATTATATGTTCAAGGAAAACAGTTATAAAGCGCCAGATGTGGAATTTTTTAAGGAGGACGAAAGAGTACGTTTTTATACCGGACTGCCATCATTTGAAGTACTTCAAATTGTTTATGACCATGTTGTCTCTCATGTTGCAAGGAGTCGTCGATGTACATCACTTTCAAGTTTTCAAGAATTTATGATAGTACTCATAAAACTTCGTCTGAACGCTCCCTTTCAAGACATTGCCTATCGTTTTCAAGTTTCYATGTCGACRGTGTCAAKGATATTCTCGTCGTGGATGCAAGTTATGGACTCTAGACTCTCATGTTTTATTCACTGGCCTGAGAGAGCCYAGCTATGGAAAACCATGCCCCTATGTTTTCTTTATACATTTGGACGGAGGGTCACTATTATAATTSACTGCTTTGAAGTCTTCATTGASAAGCCCTCTAATTTACAAGCACGTGCAAAGACCTTCTCATCATATAAACACCATAACACAATCAAAGTTCTGATTGGGATCACACCCYAAGGAACCAYTGCSTTTGTCTCAGAAGCATGGGGAGGGAGGACCTCCGACAAATTCATCACAGAAAACTGTGGATTTTTAGAGAAGTTAACACCAGGAGATACAGTAATGGCTGATCGTGGCTTCACCATTTCAGAGAGTGTTGGGCTAGCAAGGGGAAGCCTTCTTATCCCTGCATTCACAAAAGGGAAATCTCAACTTGATCCCGTCGATGTGAAAAAGTCAAGAGGCATAGCAAGTGTGCGGATACATGTTGAGAGAGTCATTGGACTTCTGCGCCGCAAATACACAATACTGAAGGGAATACTTCCCACAGACTTTTTAGTGTGTAATAGAAAGTGCAATCCACATCAAGTACCTTTGATCGACCAAATCTTAAGAGTTTGCTCTGCACTTGTCAATTTTTGCCCTCCAATAGTTCCTTTCGAATAGATTGCTGCATTAGAGTGGAAACACCAAAAGCATGAAAAGTAATAAATCTGAATAGTAATAAATCATGCAAATTCCTGTTTTCTATAATTTGCATCAGTTTGCTAGTACATTTCATGGCTTTAGTGTTTGCGCTCTATTCTGGRTATTTGCATCAGATATCTTGTTATTGTTTTCCAAAAACACTGAAATTCCTWCTTGTTTTGGCAATGTATTATTAGCATACTATTGAATTAATGAGTAATTCAATAATGTATTGAGTTTTGCAACCTTTTAGAGAGAAAGTAGAGTAACTGGCAGCTCTCTGCGAGTGACATATATGAAGTTTGGTTGACATGCAATATCCACACTGCATATTAGTATTGCCCTTTTAATTTATTGTGCATGAAGAAAACAACTGGAAATCATTGCAACAAACATGTACATTTACTGTATATTAGAATGCAAACACAAAGTGTGCAAAACTTTCATTTTTTACTAAAGAACAATACTAYCTTATGGTAATTGGTTGTTGCTCAGCAAGTGTTTGTACTCTAAAAATATCAACATGCTTGAGTGATTTTCTTGTCTTTTTAATATATTCTTAATCTTATRATTTCTAAAATCCTATTGTTCTATTTGCAATTAGGTGTATGTATATTGTGAATTTGAAACTTAGGCGAAACTAAATAAACATGAACAA